GGTGCTTCTAAGACACCCTCCCCCCTCCCCCCCACCCCCCTCTGCGCGTGGCTGAGACCCTGCGGCGAGGTCGGGCTCGCGAGCGGCACGGCCCACCCCTCAGCGCCTGCCGAGCGGGCCGCCGCCTCGGGACGGGCCGCCCTGCGGTGGATCCTGGCCGAGCCGCGGGAGGCCTGGCTCGGACAGCACGTCGGCATGCCCAGATCCCCGCGCGCCAGGAGAGAGCCCAGACCTCTGGCGTCTCGACACGTGGGGACGGGACCCAGGCATGCGACGTCCTGACTTTCTCAGGACGGCGTCCCCGGAAGTCCCGACCCTTTCCCCGGGGCCGGTTCTTCGTCCTGAGTCGTTTTTTGGCGGTCCCGAGGCCCGGCGAGGGCCCCCCGAGGCCGAAAATAGGCAAACACCTCCCGTCCTGATATTTTTGCGACGCGATCATGTCTGGGAAACTTTCATGGTTCCAGCCTCTCGGGGCCCTTGCTGGGGCCCCAGGACCGTCAGAAACGACTCGGGCGGAAAGACCGGCCCCGGAGAGGTGGTCCAGAGGTCGGGGGCCCGCTTCGCCAACAAATCGAGACGCCCGATGTCTGGGGAAGCTTTCGGCTATCTTCGGCCTCTGGGGACCAGGGCTGAACCTAAACGGTGTTTTTGTTTTCGTTTTGTTTTCGTTCTCCCTCGCTTCTGTCTCGAATCCGCCTCTGCCGCAAAACGAGGTCGAAACGAAAACGGCCCACGAAATCACCAAAAACACCGTTTAGGTCCAGCTCTGCTGGGGACCCTCACCGGCCCCTCGGTCCGTCCAAAAGCGGCTCGCCGCGATGAGAAACCGGTCCGCGGGAAAGGGTCCAGGCAGGACTCCGCGGGGTCCACGCAGCGAGCAGGTTACGACGTCGGGGGTCTGGGCTGATGGCCTGGCCCTGCGCTGGCTGCTCTTCACTTCCCTCCCTCGTTTCCGGGCGTCGGATGGAGATCACCGGCGGCTACACTGCAAGACTGTGTCGCGACGGCTCGTGCGCTGGCTTCTGACACCACGTCGACCGTTCGACGTTAAGCGATCTCAAGCGATCGCAGATTTCCGAGACCGCAGATTGTTCGACATCGACCGACTTCGGGCCAATGGCTTCGCTCAACCTTGCAAGCCAGCGCTGGGGTCGCCGCCGTGTCGACGCTGCGCGGACCTGCTGTGGACAGCTGGGTGCGGCAGACCCTGGCAAACCCGCCAGCGTCCCAGGGCTGCGTCCAGGAGGCTGCAGGGTCGTTCACCGGTGGGTCCACCGTGGTGCCATCATTGTTCATCGGAGCCTCCGCGTGCCCTCATGACACTCTCGGACAAGTTGCTTTTTTTCTCTTCGAGCTCTTCAGAAGAAGCAGAAGCATCCTGGGGCGGTGGGTCAAAGGGCCTCTGGGGCCGTCTTGGAAATGTCTCGAGCCGTCATGAGGGCTCTTCGTTCGGACCGAACCCGGGACTTCTTGGTGCCGTTCTGGACCGTCTTGGGGGCTGCTTGGGCCCGCCTTGGGTCCTCCAATGTCTTTTAGAGATTGACATCGACCGAACATTTTTTTGCCGGGCAGCGTCTGCGCGGGATGGACACGTTGGGGGGGCCGACGTCGGCGAAGACAGCGGGCTTTGTTTGTTTGTTTTCGCGTGTGTGTGTGTGCGTGTGTGTGTGTGTCCCTCCCTGTCATCCATGCCCAGATTCGCTGATGCAGTCCTCCTCTTCTCATGCAATCTGTTTTACCTCAGGCTACCGTGCGGGCACCGCCCCCAATATCGCGTGTACCCCCCACTATCCACGCCCGGATGGCTGACGTCGGTAGGACCGCATCTTAAATGATGCTTGAGGGCTGGGCCGCCGCGCGCACCGTCTGTACGCTTTTTCCGCCTCGTCACCGCGCGCGAGGCCGCTA